ATATCGACATCGTCCATTTTTAACACAAAATGCTCTTATACACAGTACATGTACCTTACTAACTTGATATTCTGAGAACCGATCGAGCTTAGATAAACGCCCAACTCTGCGTGCTACTTTTTATACTAAAAAATCACATGACCCGTAATTTCGAAGACGCGACAACCACGGCCGCACATAAGTATAATTCTCCACCACCCTCGGTCACCACTACTCCATGGCCCAAGTCAGACACAGTAACATCTCCATTAAGATACACCGAAGACGTATAATCAAGTAGCAATAGTTACTTTAGTTCATTTGTCGACTCGATATGTCCCAGTGAACTTTAAATTGAAGTCAACACTGAATGTGCAATAACTATCTTATGTTTGGAAGTTTTACTGAATATGGAAGATGAAGGCCTACTGAAACTATACTTTATAAGTGAAGAAAATTGATTTCTTTTCATCTTTTCCAAAGTGAACTTTCAGAATTCCGTATTTGTAAACTAATATTCCGCTAACACCAGGTTATCATGTCGGGTAAAATGTTGCATTATTATACTTTTATGTTATTCTTATTTAAAAAAAATTGTTTAAATGTCCTTTATCTAAATCATGTTATTCCTGTTCGATAAAATATGATTCTTATTCGATTAGTTGTTATTCCTGTGCCCATTTTTTTCTATTTCTGTTCGAGAAATCATCACCATTAAGTTGTTATTCTATTCGAAAATGTGTGATTCCTATTCAATTATTTTATCATTTCTATTCGAAAATCAAATGATTCATATTCGATAATCATGTTAAATATGTCATTTCTATTTAATTGAGTATACAGATAGTTCTAGTTTTGTCATATTTCCCAAAATGCAATTATTGGAAATGAATACGAAAACATCGCATAGAAGAGATAGAATCATGAAATAAAATAAGAAATTTTTCGAAGAGGAATCATATTTTTCGAATTAAAATGTATGTTAGAGTATGTTTTCGGAAAAGAACTTATAAACCAAATAATTATCAAATAAGAAAGTTTTATCTAGAAATGACAAAATTAGCGAATAGGAACCGCATGTTTTCAACACAGACACTTGTTTCGGAAATAATTTTTTTTTACCCACAGAATAATAATAACACAAGGTAACTAACTCTGAAATACACCCAGTAGCCCCTCCTCCGAAACGCACTCATTTACACTTTCAGATGAAATGCACTGGCAAACGTTTTATTACCGTTGCCCCTTTTAAATTATCTACACAACCATATACGGCATGCATGTCTTTGTTTTCATTTTTCTCCATAAATATTGACATATAAGATTCTTACAGGGATTTCACCAACCTTGTTTAAAGTCAGCATTACTTAAATGATATGGTCACTATTTTGATCTTTTTCACAAATAAAGGGTGTTAAGAAATTTCGTTCCATTATGAAATATTTTCAACAATTTTAATGTAGTGCTTAAATAAAGAGATGAATTTTCAAGTCTGACAAAAACTTAAGAGTGTGTTTTTGATTTAAAGCAACTCATTTCTAACAAGAAATTATAGGATTTTTCTTCCATATGAAAATACATATAACACCTTTAAAGCCCCAGAATGATAGGAATATTGGTCATTTTGAGTGAAAATAAAGGATAATTTGTTTTTTTTAATTCATGGTTTATCTTGCATCAGACAAGCTGATGAGCGTAGGAATAAGAACGATTGATCACTTATCAAAAGAATAGGTTTATCATTTTGAAATCTTTCAGAGATTTGCATAGTATTTGCAAGGATTATCAACCTATGTGCTTAATGTTTTTCACAAATATGCGTCATCCAATTCTTTTTTTTTAAAAAAACATTATCTGTTTTTAATACCTCCCCTCCCCTTATTAATTCGTCAAAACACAGTTAAAACTTTATCAGTAGCAAGTTAAATAAACTTAATGGAAAAATTTAAACCATATGCATTGTCGACACCTTACAAAGTGCCGTTTGCACAAAGATACAAGGTCAAGGAAGAATTAGACATAATGCAAAATTTAGGAGCTATCTCCAAAGTTGATAAGCTTAATGATGGTGTGCTCCAATGGTCAAAGCCCCCAATCCCAATGGCCAAGTATGAATATGCGGAGACCTGAAAAAGCTTAATGAATCAGTCAAAAGAAAAAAAAATCACCCCTTCCCTTCAGTTGAAGAGTCTTTGTCCAAAATATCAGGGTCAAAAATTTCTAAAAATTGTATTCAAATTCATGGTTTTGGCAAATAAATCTAGCACGGCTGCTTACAACCTTTATTACTCCGTACGGGAGATTCAATTTTTATCGACTTCCATTCAGAAGAAATGCCAGAAATCCTTTGTGTATTATTTCACAGAGATGACATTCTTATATTTGCTCTATCCCAAGGTCAGCATGATGCAATACTCGAATGCGTTTTAAGCATTCTTAAGAACAATGGTTTGACGTTAAACAACAAAAAGTCTAAATTCTCAAAGCCATCAGTGATGTTCTTGAGTCAGGTCATTGACGAAAAGGCCATTAGAGTAGAATAACAAAAGGTCAAAGCCATATTAAACATGAAAAAGCCAGATAATGTATCTGATATATTTAGATTCTTAGGTAAAGTGAATCAACATATTTTCACCAAAGCTGGCAGAAAGGTCACAACCTCTAAGATAGCTGCTTAAACTTAAGTTTGCATGGATGTGGGGTCCAGCCTTAGAAGTGTAATTTGAGAGTCTCTGAAGACAGCAATTTCTCAGTCTCCTTGTCTAGCGGACGGATCGTCTTATGGTCTAGGTGCAGTCCTAAAGCAGAAACACTGCCAAACATGGAAACATGTGACCTATGCATCAAGGTTAATGTCAGTAACAGAGCAAAAGGATGTCCAGACAGAGAAAGAAGCCTTAGCTCTTACTTGGGTTTGTGAACGTCTCATTGACTATTTAATAGGTAGAGAGTTCAACATAGAAACAGACCACAAAACACTTGTACCACTCTTAAGTACAAAAGATTTATCTGAATTACCAACTAGAATCCAAAGATTCGGGATGCGACTTATGCATTATACCTTAACTATAAGTCACACCCCTGATAAAGAGTTGATCACAGCTGAGAATTGTCACGCGCACCTGTAGACCAGCCCGCCCCAGGTGATGGCGAGGTGAATGCTTTTGTTGATGCCACAATGAACAGTCTACCAGCATCACCTAGCAAATCAGATCCGATAAAATCACTTTTTGAAAAAGACACATTGTGTGACAATGTCATACAATACTGTAAATCGGGATGGCCTGAGAAATCCGAAATCCAAACAGAATTGAAAATAATATACAATTATGGACTTCAGTGTAGGTCGATATGTGGTTATAAGGACTCATGGCAATTGATATTGACCTCAGACACAGAAAGTGATAGCGACCGAGCCTGCGAGGTCGCTATCATTTTCTGTGTCTGAGGTCAATATCAATTGCCATGAGTCCTTATAACCACAAATTGACCGTTCACTGAAGTCCATAATAGTTATATTATATAATCATTCAAAGTGAATGCACTGACACAGTCCTAACACAACGGAATTTGTCTTACGTCACAATGGTAAAAATCATGTTTCTTTTATTATGACGTCACGTTCTACGTAACGTCAGTGAAACCTAACGGCGTGTCGTGCGATATCATTTTCCGCTGACGTGCTTTCGCGTCGCTATCGCAAAAGGAGGAATGTCACGTGACGTCCTTTCAGCCAATGAAAACTACGAAAATAATCCTCTTATATAATATTATGGGAAATCAGGGGAGACTTAACAGTAAAAAATGGTTTGTTATTTAATGGAAGAAGGTAAGTTTACCCCAAAGAACTTCAAAAGGAAATGCTGGGAAATTACATCAAGTCCATCAACGCAGTACAGTTAAAGCAACCCATTGAAAAAATATGGTTATGAGGTCATTATGAGGTTGACGTCATGACATTTGCTCCGCCCTGATCGATCCTTATAAGGAAATAGAGCTCAAAATAACTATTTACCGATATTTGCAAGAATTTGTAACAAACGGCAATATTTCCATGTTTAAATAAATAATTATTAGTGATTTTCTCCTATATAGAATAGCATGTTTTTAAAATAATTCTCTTTCTTATGTGCCGTTTGGCTGCATTCGGCTTCAGCCAAGAGCTTGCACTCGATGACACGGAATGTTGTTTACATCTAAAAACGTGGCGACATCAGCTGAGATATGCAGTGGATTTAAATGCAATAACCAGACATTTTTTAAAGAAAATAGGGATAAGATAAGAGACAAGGCATTGTTTATCCCTTTTAAGAGAATATGAGGACATTATTACAGAAAATAACGGAAGTCTGAGATGATCTGCACTAGCTCCCTAGATCCATCACTGCAGTGCATTCAGCCCAGATATGTATGCACATGTATGTAAAATATGTAGATATGCTTTTGTTAACATCGAAGAAAAAACGATCGCGAGTGTATACGTGTCTATTTAGATGCATTATCACAGTCAGTGAAAAACAAATGCAGTGCAGTGTGTGTCCCCCCCCCCCCCCACCCCCGCCTTCCCAACAGCCCACATAAAGTTGTTCACTTTTTTTTAATAGAAATTTTAAAATGTAATTGTACTAAATATGGAGTCGATTAGCTTATTTTCTTTGAGACAACATGTGTAATGAGGGGGTTAACCCCAGTAATGCAAACTTAAACTGAATAAAATTGAAATTTCATTGTTACAGTCAATGAATTGACAATGAGTTACTGAACATGTAATGTTGTCTTTTTGGCATACAAACATGCTACATAATGTAAAAAAAATCATCTGTATCATTATGTAGAAAACAAAGAACCTCCACTTTAGATCTATGGTTTTTTTTAATAGAATTTCTAAATTAATTGGGAATAAAATACCGGGTATTTATTTATTTTAGTTTGATTTCATGTCACGTCAGTTAATTTCTGTAATAAATACATAATTATTTTTTTAATTATATGATAGGCCTATATAATACTTTTATTATTGTAGTAGTCAAGAGTTGCAGGCTTGAAGAATGAATAAATACAAAATGCACCCATTTCTCCACAGAGTATGTACACTTATTAAGCATTTCACATTTTTTAAAACCATGCATGTGTTATGTTTATTTTTCATTTTGTAAAGATGAAAGAATGTTTTTTTTCATATTCTAATTATTTGCTCTTGTAAATGTCAGAGGTTTTAATTTGTAATACAACTTTGTTTCCATTTATCTTATAATATGAATTTCATAAATTCACTATGTACAGCATACAGTATATCATGAATTGTTTTGTCAAATGTAATGTGATTCTATTATACAATGTATTTTATTTAGTAATCTCATAACAATTGCATATATAATGTGTTGCAGCTATTCCTAAAGAATTGGACCAATGGATTCATTCAGGCAGCAAGTTAATTCATCATGTAAGGAAAATGGTATGCTCCATATTAGCTATAAACCAAATTACCATGCAATATTCCTGGCAAACAATGAAATATAACAGTAGAATTGCAAGTATTTAATAATGCATCCAATGTTTGTGCATGTTTCCATGCATTGTTCTGAATTAAATTCAATTTTAAACACCAATTTATTCTCAATAATGGTATGTTACTTCTAGAATGTCCTGATTTTCTCATACATGTATTTTCAGAATTGATTTCATCCACAAGAGCATGAAGTGATGGAAATGATTTGCAGCTGCTAAGTATTCCTTGTACAGTCTACCTTAATTTGAAAAGCTGTTTATGAAATAAAATTTCTTCATAAAAAAAATGATTTGACTTTTTCATATACATGTACTTACTGTACAGGTGTTGAAAAGGCTATTAAGATTTGATAATCTTGACTTGCATATATTTGTGTGGTGGGTGTCAATGTCCATCAAGATTTTATTTCCAGCATGTACATTGTGTTAATTTGTTTTTCTCAATAATAGTTACTGAAAAGGAGATTAAAGGCTCCCCTTATTGATTCAAAACAGGAAAGGGGACCACCATTTTATTCTGAAGGGAGGGGGGTGGTGGCAAGTTTTTCCAGGTCATTATTTTTAAGGTCTTCCGCTCAGGCGGAAGACCTTCTACTGATTCTGGTGGTTAAGATTATTCCCTATTATTCTTTTTTTTTTCCTAGACGCAAACTTTGAGACCTCGTAACTCGCTCATTTCTGAACGGATTTCGCTCAAATTTTCAGAGTTTTTGAACGTTACAAAACTCAATTAAAATGTTTTAATACATTTCAAAATTTCCCTTCCGCTTTCGAGTTATTTCCCTTTAAGTGAAAATTTGGTACTGTTCGTTTCCAGACAAAGGCTCAGAAACGACAAAAGCTGGAGCAGAATGTCTACTGCATTTATATACTAGAAGAATTGAAGTTGTGCCTATCGGTTTTTCTTTTTCGATTTCTGCGCTCCAAACGGTGCTAGATAGGGGTCAAAAATGAGAATGCCTAAAAGCGCCAAATTTTACATATATTTCCTTGTGTATCTTTTAAACTAAAAATATTTTGTTAAGACATATTTCACAAATATTGTGCATAATTTTAAGATCTATCATTTGACATCATTAAAAAGGGGCTGGCCCCTCAAATTAAGGGTCAAGGGCGCTCGAAAGTTTTTGCTTTATAACTCAAAAACGGTAAATATTTCGATATGGTTATCGATTTGAAATGGGTTCTTTAACATCTTATTGATCTCATGAAAACGTTATTTTGTTCGAATCTTATGTTATTGAATTAGCAGCAAACTTTATGTACAGGTAACTGATTAATTTTATACGGCAAGTGAAGAATTCTTTATGCGTACGCGTATAACACGTATAGCTGAAATAAACTGGATAATAATATATACTTAACTAAACTGAATGTTAAACTTTGTTGAAATAAAGTTTTTAACGTATTTTCTAGCTGGATGTCATACAGATTATTCAGAGACAACTTTCTCCTTGTATTTAGTTTGAATTACAAGACAGGAGATAGGAAAAATACTTATCATCTCTCATTCGATTGATTCTCAATGTTGCATTATTTATAAATGAAAGAAATTAAGCTTAAAATAATTCACTGTCATTTTATTCAGGCATCGTGAATTTTCCTCGGACCTTGACTGCTTTGTTTACAGTTGTGCAATCTATTTATCGATCGCGCACGCATTGACCTATATACATTCCGGAGGTCAACATTACCGCTCTTTGATTTTTACGCGAGTCCCAGAGTTATCTAAAACGATGCTAGTCATCGATTTACTCAGTTTAAAATCAAGAATTTGTTATTTGCGTAAATCGTAAGAATATTTCTTGACACAAATATAAAGGTTTTCTTGAACATGTACGAGTATTAAAAGATTAAATGTCTGATTCTATTCTTTGACGAATGAATAAAAGGCGCTGCGATTTTGCTCAGGTACAGATGATTTCTCTGGACGAGTCCATTTGTTACACTGAAAGGTGACGCAGGATGACCTATCGATAACTCTGCCAATTTTGATAGTGATTGTAATTGCACATGTACATAAATTAGTGTTGAATTCTACCCTTGTGAAGTCCATTATAGTTTCTTTATTTAAAGAATCGGGGATATTACTACTGCAACTTAATTGTTTTTAATTTGAACGGATGATTCTATATTATTGGAAAGGTACACATTTTTTAGGCGCCGTCGTCTCCCTCTCAACTTTGAAGTAATTGCAATCGTTATATGTATACGGGCCTATATCAAGTTATTCTAATTGTTGCTTAATTTATTTCAGAAAAAATTGCGATGTTGTTTAAATTAGCAATTACAAATAAACATGTCAAATGCACACTGTAAATTGTAAGTGGAAGTGACGTTTTCAATTCTCATGAAAATCGAAAATAAAATTAAGTAACTTTGAGTTTTGCATAATTTGCTACATAACTTATCATTGTATTTTTCCGAATGATATGCTCATAAATTTCTTTGATTTCCTCAAATAAAAAACTAGATTATCACAATGACACGATTTTATGTGCATGTACATGATATTACCTAAACTACATGCTGTTTTACACAGAAGAGCACCAAATACGAGAAAAAAAGAAAATAATTAGAAATTCTTCTAACAAATGCAAAATTTCTTACTGTAATTTCATACAAATATTCCATGCCTTTCTTTCGTGTTTATTGGACTAAAAGAGATTAAATTATTAAATTTCCTCTCATTGCGATACGTAACCCCCCTGAAATGATACAATGCTTTCCTTCAGAGTCGAGAATGGCAGGCCAGGGCTGGTGATGAAATCCATGGTTACTCCATAACCTATTATAATATTAACCAAAAATCATACGCGATATTGTTTTTAATTCGCAGGTTGTCAAATAAATAAGAAAAGGTCGGCAAAGATCAGTATGCCTAACTGAACTTTTTTATTCATAATTTTTTTAATTTCTAGAGTGTACAATCGAGCATCGAAGTGTGTACATCTACTATATGTACTAGTTTTTTTTTTTTTTTTTTGGGGGGGGGGGTACCAGTTTTCGCTGCATTTGATATGCTGAATTTTGCATTTCCGACATTTAAACAAAAATTAATAGAATATAATTGGTGACAGTAACACAAGTGATTTATAAAACAAAAGTCAAGCAATAAAACGTTAAAGTTTGTATTTTGAAAAATAAATCAAGTCAAGTCACATAAAACAAAGACAGGTTGAAAGGCTCACACATGGACATACATACAAACGTTTTGGTAACTCGGAATAGTCCAGAGTAGAACTATATTTCTTGATGACGGAATGTCCAGTACATCTGATGTTCACGTCCGGGATAGTTCACGGCAGTTTCATCACACATACGCAATTATCATACAAGTCGAACGTTCTTTGGGATTGAGGATTGACACTAATTCCTTAGATAAATACTGAGTATCAAATTCCTTTTTACTGTCTTAACTTAACTTGATAGGTAAATAATTTTAGCATAAAATAAGCATTAGAAATAATTCTTTTGATAAAATTCAATTCTGTTACATTTCAAATGGATTTGTAAAGTTAACTTTATGACAATTGTCATGCTGCAGATCTGTAGCTCGCTAGCTGTTCTAAAAAAATTTGAGATGGATCACCAGAGAGCTACAGTGCCATTCATATTATCTCAAGTTCAGGCTCAGAAGGACTATTAAAAACGGTTGTAAGGAATGTTTAACTGTAGAAAAATTTAAGGAATGTGTTAGAGACACACGGTAAATAATATTTTTATATTCAAGCAGTTGAAAAACACGGATATTGAATATAGCTTCAGTGCAATTTTTTTCTAATATTTTCTAGTTTTTTATTCTTCGTATTTCTCAATTCGTCATGTTCAAATAACGTGTATTTATTTTTATTAGGGCACATTAAACCTTATTTGTCAACCAGTCTGACAGTGTCCATCTGTCACGAGAACTTTAAACTTGATAATAACTATTGAATGAGTTGAAATAGGACTTTCATATTTCACATGTGCATTATTTGTGACATGTAATTTTCAAATATACTGTGATTTTTAACCCCGTGATATGATCTTGGAGATTGACCTACTTAAAAAATAACATTACTTTAAATTGACCATAACTATTGAAAGCTTTCATTTTATAAACATGTACACGTGATACCTGTGTCAACGCCTTTGAAAATTCATTATGATTTTTGACCCTTTGACCTTGAAGTTTGACCCACTTTTCAAAAACATTAACCATAGTTATACCTTTTGAGAGAAAAGAGATCGATTAGGGCTTTTATTTTACCACTGTGTATTACCTGTAACAATTTTTTTTAAATACCGATACGCTGATTTTGACAACGTGACCTTGAGGCTTGACTTACTTTTCACAATTTTAATCTTGATCATTACTTTTGAATAAAAAGAGATAGGGTTTTTCGTAATACACAAAAATGTGACCTGTGATAAAATCATTTCAAATACTAGCATATAATGAACTTTGACCTTGAAGTTTAACCGGTTTTAAACATTGCTTAGAATTGACCATGACTTTTGATAAAGAAAGGATAACGCTTTCATACCTAGATTTACACATGTATACACGTATTAGCTGTGACAGGGCCTATCGAAAAAAAGTATAGCTTAAGAATTCGTCAATACAGTAGCACACAAATGGCTTTGCTTATCACCAGCGTAGGTCATGGTGTGACGTATGGTCATTTTAACAAGGTCAAGGTCGCAAACATTCCTTTACTATCTTTCTTAATAGTAAAGCATAAATAAGATGGCATCTACCCTTAAAAGATTGCTTTAACATTAGAACGTGGCATGACCTTGACCCAAGGTTATTTCTCCCTGTCCGCAGCTCCGACGGAAGACCTACTCGTTGCTTTGCAACGAGCTCGGCTCTAGTTTTAATTTCTTTTCATGTCAATGAAGGACAGGTATACTAATATTTATTTCCCATGAGATGATGGACAAATTATTTATTTTCCTCTTCACTGAAAAATGTCTGACTAGCTAAAAAAATAATTTATAGGAGGGGGAACACTGGTCTGGGGCAGAATATTTATTTTTTATCCAGTGTGGGACATATTTATTTTCAACATTTTTGAAATCTAACCCCCCCCCTTTTCTGGAGAAACATGGTAGTCCCTTTAACAAATACAGGAATATTTATGATTTCCAGTAAGTCTTAAAACGTACAACTTAAATCCCATAGGAGTTGAAGGTTTGAAAGAAAGCCATGATAGAATCTGATATAAAATATATGTACATAAGTGTACATGTATGTACAGCAGTGACAGAAAGGTATATTAAATTTATCGAATCAATTATTGATGGAGGCTTTCAATTGACTATTTTATTTGAATATTCCCGTTCTTATTAACAATCGGCGTTTTAAATTACATGCTGCGGCAAAAGTT